GAGCCCCTACTCCTGCTTCTGGTTTGAAGTCACTATGCGAAAAAGGGATATGCATGGGAAGGCCGCTTTTCTAGTGGTAAACTTGCCAGGTTCTGTTTACACCTTGAGGTGCTCTTGGTCACAGCCTAATTTGGGGTTGCAGAGTTAAGCGTCAAGCAGCAAATGTGCCAGCACTGCAGTGACACTGCATACAGTGCGGGTGCCCGCAGACACTGAGCACATCATAGCATCTACCCAAATGCACCAGCTTCCCTCAACCAAGTGCGGGAATTGCCATGGAAATGTGATACACAGCCGGTGGAGCTGATAAGACTCAGCCTACTCTACCGCTGTGCCAGGCCAATGGTCTCCAAATGGGCTAGGAGGTAACGGTCGGCGGCCTGGGATGTTGCGTCGAGATTTGCAAATGAGGCAGGTACAAAGAAGCACTCATTTCTAAGAGATAATTTAAAACCTCAGGAGGAGCCGCCTCTGTGCTGCCTGATATTATAATAACCTCGCATAGATGCTTCAGTAGCCAAAATGGGACCATTTGCATCTTTTTGCAAAAAGATCTTTCTTGGAAAAGAAAACCTTTTTTTTCTTGGAAAGTGTGCTGGACCTTGTGTAACCGTGCAAGCACCCACGGGAAAATACACCCAGCGCAAGGGCACTACAACCATGTTAAGACTGATGCTATGAAGCCGCGGTGCAGTTTTTTAAAGGTATCCAATATGGTTGTGAGACAAAAGGCCCAAGCAACTTAATGACGAAATTCCTTTGCAGGTGACATGTTTTCTGCTTTGCAGACTACCGGTTTTGTCCAGTTGATAGTGTAAAAAAATAAAAAAGAAGTTAATTTGTAAGGAAATCTGTAAGTGATAAAAATGTCCGTGCTAGAGCCATCATCTGCCCAGCCCTCGTGCGTGACTGGAGCATTGGAGTTTGCTGCAGAACTGGAGAGGGCACTGTGGGCTCTGCTTTATGTTCCCTAAACCTGCTTCACGGAGAATGAAATGCTTGGTGGCTTTTAATACACTGTTTTCCCTCACTTTCACCCACAACAGATCTCTGAAGAGACATCTGTGGGAGTGTCAGGACAACAAATACAACACCGCGTTTTGGCCTCTTCCTATTTAAGTCCCATTGACTTTGATCAGGGCAGAACTGAGCCGTTCATCATACAGAGAGGTCCAACAAAATCCTTGCTAAGTGACAAGCCACCTAAAAGTGAAAAGCTGCGTTGTGAAAGTGCTTGAAGCCATTATAGTTGTTTATCCTGAAGGCAGACATATAGCATTTAGTGTGTATGTGATTCATAAAGGGAATAAACGCATGCAATTCTAGCGAATAGTACATGCAAAATTTAAAATCATCCCCTGTCCTACAGATGTTTAACTCTTTTGCATGTGTTTCTTATTTCCTATTTTCTTTTGCATACCTTTTCAAAAATCTTAACATATTCCTTAGCTATATTCCTATCCTGAAGTGTTGCAACCCTTGGTCTTCCTTCAGAAAATTCTGTCTCGAGTTCCTCGGAGCACTTTTGGTTGGCTGGTTGGTTGGTCTGCGAGGGGCGAGCGCGAGCATCGCGGAGAACGCTGCTTTTTGTGCAGCATAAAGAAAACAAGTGCGCAGAGCGCCCAGGCTGGGAGTGTATCAGTTAATTAGTGGCTGGCCATGGCTCGGCAGGAAGCCTGGCGAGGTTTTTGTGCGTGTGTGTATGTGTGTTGTCCGCCTCCTTTGATCACTTGTGTGGCAAATAGACGTGCAGCGTAGCTATGGCAACGTGTGCTGTAGGGTGGTGGGAACAGAGGGGACGGCAGGGCTGCACAAAGGGCAGTTTGTTGGAGTGGTTGGTGCTGATTAGAAAAAGGTGGCACCGATCAGGGCATTTGGAAGCATACGTTTTGCAGGGCACAAATGCATTTTACCAGCTTGAAAGTAAGGTTTGTTTCTGTAGACTTGAAGGAGCAGATCCTACGGAAGATTGGGGAGGACGGGGGAGGGATAATAAGAAGCAGAGCCCAAACCCCCTTACACTTTTGAGTATAAAAATGTTCGTGCTGGACGTGCTTTTTCTGGCTTTGTTGCAGTGTGTAGGCATTTTGTAAGAATGAATTTGTATGGAGCAAAATACCACAGTATTTCTATTTTTTTTTTTTTTTTTTTTTTTTAAAAATAAGGATTTAAACATGCAATTGTGATACCTTGAGGTTCTGCATTACAACAGGTCCATTGGCTTCTGCTAGTGTTTAAAAATGGTATGTGCGATGTGTGACCAAAAGATACTGCACCGATTTCAGTAGGCTACCTGTAGAGGTCAGGCTTGAAGTTTGCAAAACCTTTTCGTGCTAGAATACCAACTCTAAGCTAAAGCTATAAAAATGCAAAATCAGGCATAATGAGCCACTTTGCTCATTAACTTTTTGAGGAATACTCTTTAAAAATGTTGGTTTATCAGTTTTGGATTATTAAATAGCACCATATTCTGCGTTGCTGGCCACTTGGAATAAAGAAAAGTCGAGTTTACTCGCACGTCCTAAGCGTGAAGGAGCCTAAGCCCTTTAGCAGCGGCTGAATGAGGGGTGCATGTCCCTCTCCTAGTCCCAGCAGGTCAGCTCCCCCAGGGAGCAGCCCCCAGTGTCCCCCTCCCCGGAGGCCGCGCCGTGTGGTCGGACAGCCTCCCATCCCGACCTCCTCGCAGGGCTTCCCCGGCCGCGGTGGAGGGCAGGGGAGGGAGTGGGCAGCGACAGGCAGAGCTTCAAGAGCTCCCGAGCTCCGCAAAAAAAGTTGTGGGACTCTCGGCGTGCCCCCACGGACAGCGCCGGAGGTAAGGGGGCCCTGGAGGCCGGGTCGAGCAAAGCGAGCCGCGGGAGCGAGGAGCTCGCGGGGGCTGAACTGCAGCCCCCAAAGTGGGAAGACGGGGAAGCAAGAGGCTTCGGCGGAGGCGAGAAGGGTAAAGAGTGGGCTGTGAGGAAGAAGCAGGCAGGCATTCGTGTACCGATGCATGATTGCCTTTCCAGGAGGCTTTGCTAGACTTTGTTTGAGATAGATAGATTTCAGGCTGCTTAGGGCACTCGGTTCTCCAGCCTTGCTGCGGGTGCAAAGTTTTTTATTACAGTTTAGGGCAGCTTAGAACTTGCATC